GCTGCCGATACGCTATAAAGGCCTGGGGAGAACCCTGCTGATAACACGATAAGCGAAAAACCGCTTTACTTTTTGGCTTGAAAATTACAGAACTGATGAATATCCATAATACGCAGGTCAAGTTAGAAATTTGGCATGATCTTGCCATTTTATAAAAGTTTGCTGGTTTTTTTTTCACTTTTTTCAGCATTTATGCAACACCTATAACACATTTTAAGGAAAATCGATTGGCCAATTGTCTTGGAATTCACAGGAGTGATCATTGTTACTGAAATACAGATTAAGTTTTGAAAATGAGCTTGATCAGTTAAGTTTTGGTGAAGTTATGCCTTTTTTGTATAGAAATGTTTTTTCCTCAAATTTAATTCTCAGGCATGTTAACAGTCTCATTTTTGAACTAATTAGATATGTAAAGCTGTTCTTTTGATGTTTTCTGCATCTTAACAATATTGTTAATTGATTATTTAAAAATGATGGTAAACCTGTTATTGTATATTGTGTAATAAAGTACCAAAAATAGGAAAAAGTCATATCTTTAGAGTTTGTCAGATTCAGTCATTCACTATGTTCAGAATCTCAGAATGGAGCAAATTGGAGATTTAAAATTGTTTTATTGATAAACATGAAAAGTCAGTCTGATGAAGGCCTTCGACCAGGTTGGCCGTAAGCTAACGGTATGGAAAGTTTTAGGCTTGTGTCTGAGAATTTTCATGTTTATCCAACAACCAAGCTAATGAACATTTTTGCTGTTTTATTGATGTTTTTCTTATGTCAACAATTTTTTAGTCGATCATTTGAAAATAACAGTAAATTGATTATTTTGTTTTATGTACCAAAAGGTGCTGAAAATGGAAAGAAAATCATTTCAGTACAATTATCTCTTGTTTACATTTTGGCATTTTGAAGGTGTGACTCTTAACTTCCATGGCCTTGAAGACCTATTCATGTCACATTTTCTGAGTATCCATGATACTTTTATTTTATTATTAAAAATTGATGGTCATTATACTGTTAAGCATTATGTAATATTGCATCAAAATGAAAAAAAAAACTATTTTGGACACTGATGACCATCAAGGGAAAACCATGTTAGTATGTTACTTATGGTACTTACTGAAAAGTGCAGCTTGTGTTGGAAAATCAGTGTGATTGTTTTCTGTTTTGTAAGCAATGCAGTTCTATAGAGTGCTATATGATGGTATGATGGTTCTATAGAATGCTGGATGGCGGCCAGTATGAAATTGTCCCTTGGGTAATCACTAATTAAATTAAGGTCTATAAAGTCACTTGAGATTACATAAAACACTTGTTGAGATTTCCGTGTAAAGTCCCATAGGTTTAGCTCTCTTAACTGTGTCTCATAATTAGGATTTGGTGATAATTATGTAGGTAAATGTTGTTTAATATTGCAAATAAATTTACAACAGAAAAAATTGTGTTATACCAACATCAATGCTATAGATGAATAACAGTGCCTTATTATTCTCAAACTCAGTGGGGTTATTCATATCATGTTAATACAGCTAGAAAGTTTGAATAGTAGCTTTTTTTTTGTTATGTTATGTTTTATTTTAAATTTTTTAAAAATAACTTTTCAAACACTAGCATCTTCAAGATGTAACTTTTAACTCCCATCCACCAGAAGTGCTGTGCATTTTCTGTATTTCCACATGAGCAATTGTATTGGTCTTTAAACATTATGTAATATTATTTTATGCACTATCATCATTTTTCACATATTGGGATTTTCATTATGTGAATTTGAACTCTCACATATGGTCCTGAAACTGTAATTTTTTTTCACCATGTTACCTCTTGTGGATGGTTAAATTTAAAGGGATAACATCTGTTTGTTTTGGACAAAAATTGAATTTTCCTGGAGTGAACAACAATTAATGAATGGTTGAACAATGGTTAATGAATCAATTTCTACATTCAAAGTCAGTCCCTGAATTTTTTCTAAGAAGGTTTTTTCTTTTTTTTTGTAATTATCTCTTAAGAGATTATAACAGAGTATAGCCATCTATTGAGGTCTCATGGTCCGATGACAAGCTCAGATATCAGAATAATAGCCATAACTGCCGTTTTTGTGGTAAAACAGAATAAATTATATTTCTATGAGTTGTTTACAATGTCTTGTGAAATATAGATCTCATACAAAGAGTTATTATCCCTTTAAGTGTTGATTGTGCTGTTATAAACATTATTTATTATTGTATCAAAATTGACAAAATGACCTATTTTCTGTATCTTTTTAAGGTGTAACTTATGGGCCTGAAGACCTTTACTAGTCACATAATTTTCCCTTGGGTATAAGTTCATTGCTATAAAGTCAATTAAGATTCAAGTGGCCATTAAATGAGATTACGTAAAACACACTTGTTGATACTGTAAACTCCCATAGGTTAAGTTCTCTGCCAGATAAGTGTCCATAATAATGAAGCAGTGATAATTATGCAGGTAAATACTGTTTAATATTGCAAATAAGTTTTCAAAAAAAAAAAAAAAAAAAAAAAAATATATATATATATATATATATATATATATATATATATATATATATATATATATATATATATATATATATATATATATATATATATATATATATTGTGTAGTGCCAACATAAATGCTATAGATGAATAACAGTGCCTTATCTATCCTCAAACTCTTAAAATGTTAATACAGAAAGATTGAAAGTTTGAATAGCAGCTTTATTGGAATATATATATATATTTTTTTTCAAACACTGGCATTTTCAAGATGTGACTTTTAACTCCCATCCATTTGAACCTCTGCACATTTTCTGTATTTCCACATAAGCAGTTGTGTTGGTATTTATGTCTTTAAACATTATGCAATATTATTTTATGCACTGTCATCATTTTTCAGATATTGTGATTTTATTATGTGAATTTGAACTTTTGTGGTACTGAAACTGTAATCTTATTGCAGGGGCGGATTGAGACCGTCTTCTGGGCCTTCTGAAAGATGGTCAGATTTTAATGTTTACATTGACGGGTATCTATTTTTTTCTGTTGGAAGACCATCAAAAATGGAGGATGGATCAACAAAGATAATTTGGAATACTGTCAGAAAATATCTCTCCCATTCGCTTCTGTTATTGACCATGTTATCTGTTGTTCATGATAAAATTCAGTGTTGATTGACAGCATTATTTATTATTGCATCAAAATTGACAAAATGACCTATTTTTTGCATCTTTATTTTCTGTTTTTCGTCTGTACATTTAACAGCTTTGCTGCCTTGTTTAACATAAGTTAAGTTGTCTCTGATGCAGTGGCATGGACAGGACTTGAGGGGTAAGATTTGCTCGGTATATTTAGCTGATTATAACCAAAGTAATGGGTTGACAACTGACATGGAGAGATGAACACATTTTGACTGGAAACATGGCAGTAACTGTTATAAGCAATATGAAATTGGGCAGATATGGTAGATGCATATTTTTAAAGTCTACTTTTTTTCAGCTGATACAAACCAACTGTGACCTTGATGCTGCTAAGACTACACACAATGAACTTTTGGGTTCTCTCACAGATTTCAAGGTTAGATGCAATGAAATATTTTATTTCTTCAATCTATCCTGTTTAACTTCATGAGAGTCTTCTCTGAAAAATTTTCCATATGTCTTACCTTCATAAATGGTCACAATTCAGTGTTTTTTTAGCAACTAAAAGCCAAGTTTGAAGAAATGGGACGCGTTCAAGAAGTGCAGCTTTCTGAGGTAAAGTTTAAGAGTGCATTCCCAGAGATTAAGATCGATCCATCCCAATCAACCTAACTCCCTGTGGGTTCACGCTAAATTGCAGTTAGCCGAGCGCGCACGACAGTTAATTACCCTCTTACAGCTTTTAGTAGGCGGGACGGACGCTTAAGCCGGCTAAGCTGACAGTAATCTAGTGAGACTCCCCACAGGGATAGATTGATCTAAAATCTGTGGGAATAGGGTCTAAGTAATGCAGTGTGGTGTAATTTTGTGTTGCTATGCTTTGGCTTTGATTGTTATTGCTGTTCCACTTAGCAAAGGCCACCCTGCAACTTGGGGGAAAAAAAAAAGAAAGTAAAGTGAAAGCAATCTAGGACCCAAGATACATCTATCTTTGATCCCAGGTGCAATAGAGGAAAAGAAAATGTGTTATTGTACCACAAGCGCAACGCTGGCAGTACACATTGTTTAAGTCCAGACCTGTAATGTCCGCCGGCTCTGCCAAGTCACTGTTCCCACTTCTCCTTCTAGACTACAAATTTATAGGAACTAAGGACTTGTTTGCTGTAAATGAACCTGGGCCTGCATCTCCTTAAATCAAATCAAAACAAAACGTGGTCTTCTTGGAGTGTTTTTACTCTACTGTCATTCCTTTTCTCTGACTTCATAATTAATGAATTATTTAAGCAACACAGAAAATCCAGCATCTCTCCTTTTTCTTAGAAGTGACCAGCTGATTCAGTTGTAGGATACACTTACCATTTATTGTACCACCAGTGTAGGCACTGGCAGTACACATGGTTTTAGTCCCTACCAGCCCCATCTGCTGGCCCTGCCAGATCCACTGCCACGTTACCATTCCCGCTCATCCTCTTAGACTACAAGAGCCTGCTTACCCATCTCTTGAATTTAGGTCACATATAATCTCAAGTAGATCCATGTGAATTTTGGGCTTTGTCAGTGCACCAGTCTAGGTGTGGCCGTCGTCCCAATTCACCCTTGTCCAAAATTTGCAAAATTAAATGTTAAGTATCTCCCAAACCAAAGGAATTACGAGAAAAATGTCTATAGATGGCTGCGCGAAAGTCACATGTGGAGATTTCAAATATGTTCTTGGATATGATCATTGGCCTTGATTTCAAGGTCAAACAGGCCAAAATTTTCTAAAAACGGGAATTTTTTGCCAAAAAATTTCTTTCTGTCAATTTTCAGAAACTACACACACCTAATCTATAATATTACAAGCATATGTTACACTTAGGGTAATCTTTGATCTTCATGAGTTTGGGGTCAATCAGTGCATTATCACGGGAGAAGCAGCCTTTAGTTGCCGAAACTGAAAACTCTGCCTACCCAGAAAGTAGTATTATATCAGCTCACCTTATATTATGATAATATTATATATAATATTGATATTTTTTGTTTTGGTTTCCATACAAATGCGCTTTCTCCAGCTGATCCTCTAGTTTGAAAAATGCTATGAATTACCTTACTGACTGAGTCTTACAATTTATCTGGAAAATCATAATGTTCACCTTTTGTGTAGTCAAAAATGTGTAAAGTGTATGTAAATGGGGGTACAATACATGGAGGCGGTATCACCTCTCTGATTCTCTAGTTTAAAATATTTTCTTTGTTAAATCCTGAAAGATGGCCTTGAAATATAGTCATGCATGAACATCCATAAATGTTGGTCATTTTAATAGTTTGAGTTTTAAGGGTAATACAGATAAAAGATTAAAAGTAACTTATAAAGGGAAAAGCTCGTTGTAAAAAATTATTCTATCATTCTTCTATCTTTCAGCGATGTAAGGAAACTGAAGAAATGAAAGCAACTCTAGATCAGTGGAAGAGAATATCTGAGGTAAGATATTGTTATCATATTAAAGAAAAATTCAAGATCAAAACTTTAACCGATATCTTATACATATCTTAAAAATGTGAGTATAGTTAAGACCTTGAGTCTCTTATTAAAAAGGAATGTTTTATAAAAATTATTTTAGCTTTGCCCAAGTATGTTACATGCAGATGTCTTTATTTGGAAAATTCCTTTTTGAACAATGTTTTTTTTTCTCCTAGGGTCTAAGACAAGAAAAGAATGAACTAGAACTTCAGTTGATACAGACACAGCACAGGTATGGATGTGATTTTCACTAATTTTACTTGTAAAAACAATTTTTTTGATTTAAAGATTTTTGTTTCAAATTTATTTTGTAGAGACAGAAGATGGACCGAAAATGAACTGATTTGGTTTTTAGTATGACGGGGTTAGGGTGATCCTTGCGGGGTTATTGATTCTTAATTCTTTTTACACTATAATATTTGTTATCTCCTCCTATACCAACAGAGTGATGCAATTTCATCATTGATAGAATTATAATCATGGATGTGCATGACTACTTGAATTTTTTTGTGTACCTTGGGGTTGGACTCTCCCTGGAGGTTGGTTGATTCTCATTTTTATGTACAGATGCAGATGTGTCTGTACATTCAGTCATCCCCTGCATCTGTCATTGCTGTCGCTGTTCACTTTCAGTCATAACATGATAAGTGGAAAAGCATTTTACTTTTTGTCTTTAAACTTACGGAACTGATGAATATTCATAAAATACAGGGCCAATTTCGAAAATCAGCCTGATCAGGCCATTTCTTCATAAGTTATGCTGTTTTTTTTTTTTTTCAGCTTATATGCAATACTGATAGCAAGGAAAACAAATGGCCAATCAGCTTCAAATCGTATAGGAGTGATCAATATTGATAAAATACAGGTTGAGTTTGAAGATCAGATCGATCGGACCATTCTTCCAGAAGTAATGCTTTTTTTCTTTTTCTTTCAGTATATATGCAATACAGACAACACATTTCAATAAAACCAATAGGCCAATTGTCTTCAAATTCACAGGCCTGACCAATACAGGTCGGGATCAAACCCAGCCTGATCGGATATTTTTTGGTGAAATTATGCTTTTTTTTTGGTCAAATATACATTTTTCAGATATTGGCATTTTCAACTTTGTGACTTTGGACTTCCATGGGCCTTAAGACCTTTGCTAGTCACATTTTCCAAATATCTGCAGTGCATGATTAAAAATTGGTATTGATTATGCTGTTAATCATTACAGAATGTTGCATCAAACTTTAAGAAAAGCCTATTTTGGAAACTGTCGCCATAGTGACAATTTAAGTAATTCCATGTCTCTTATTATTCTCAAATTTCAACAAAGAAACCTAGGACTTAAGTACAGCTTGAGACTGAAAACCACTGTGATTGATTTCTTTATCTGAGGTTATACTGTTTTTAGCAAAATGTAAATTTTTCACATATTGCCATTTTCAAGTATGATTTTGAACTTTTATGGGCTTGAAAACCTTTGTTAGTTGCATTTTCTGAATATCCATGATCATTTTATTTATAATTAAAAATTATGCTGTTAAGTACATATTATGCAATATTGCATCAAATTTGATGAAAATTTGGGCACTGCAAACATGTTGACCTTTGAATGAAAACCATGTCACTAATCAATTTCAAACTTAAAGGAAAGAAATATTGAAATAAAGTACAGGTTTAATTCTAAAACTAAACTGATTGGTGACAAAAAACCTACATTGTGCAATGTCACTACAAACATTATGAAATGAAAACTGTGCTATTAATTATTTTATAACTTACAAGAATGATTCTTAGGATTGACGCACAGCTCAAATTGGAAGACCAGCTTGATTGGATTATTATTTTTTCTTGAATTTATTCAGTTTTTTGTGAAATTTTTTTTTGTTCTGGCATTTTCAAAATACAGAGTGGTCTGCCTCAATTTTTGATATACAATTAATAAGGTATTTCCAACTTTCTTTCATCAGATCATGCTGTAAGGATGACCATTCTGCAGAAATTGGAAACGTTTAATGTTGTAAAATTTCAATAACTGATAATATGCTGGGCAATTCCAGCATTACGGATGTACATTTTGCACACTTTGGCAGTGCACTGCACAAAATCATGTACATTTGGGGCCAATTTCTTGTGGCCTATATGTGGGTCTTAGGTGGTTATATAACCATATAAACAGTGATGCATCCAGTGTGCGGCATTGGGGCATTGCCCCCTTTTCCCAATGAATGCCCCCAATTTTGAGAAACAGTACGCGAAAAATGCAGCAGATTTGAACTAATGAGCGCATATTCAGCAAATAAATGCACGCTTAAAAGTTTCTATAGCGATCTCGGTATCGCCGATCTAAGGGGAAATACTCCTGCAGCGAGAGGGAGTTTGAGGTAATGGTTTTTCCAATACGTCATAGATAGCTATTTATAGCGCTTATCTGATTTAATTGATTGGTTAATTATTACCTAATCGCGGTCATCACAGCGACCTCTGTATCACGTGTTAAAAAACAATGGCTGCCAAAAAAACGATTCTCGATTTCTTCTCAAAGAAAACCGTTGATAAGCCGGAGTCTGTCGAGTCGGAAGAACCGACAGACTTGGAAAAGGACACTTCGCAGGTTCCCGAGACTGTCTCGCTGAACGAAGGTTCGGAGAATGTGGAAACTGCACAGGAACCACAGAAAGAAAAACCGTCGAAGGAAAGCGGGTCGAAGCCTGATGCGGACAGATCAGAGAAAAAAGCGAAAATATTCATGGAAAACCAATCGTCCATGGCTGGTATTAAATGTAGAAACTGGAAAATCCAATTATTTGCGCAAGGAAATACAAACTACAGAACCTCTACATTGGATCGGCATTGCGAATTGCCGGGCCACAAACAGGCCATCTAGGACTTGTGCCAGCGCAATAATATGAACACTTTGTGTAAGAAAGATTTGGACGTGCTTATAAAAGCTTTTAAAGCTGTGTATTTCATGTGTTTGACAAACTTTGCTTATCAACATACAAGTACTAAAATAACTGAGGTGACATTGCACATTAAACCATCAAAATGGCTTCTGAATTTTGTGAAATCCCTATCACAGCTTCACCATGCACAAAACAACAATCAGGATACAGACAGTGAAAGTAAGTTTTCATATTAAACTTTATTTAACCATATGTTTATTCAAATGCATATCTTGATTTCCAGCTCTTTCCTTTTTTAGAGAAATGTGGACCTAAATATAATCATTTGAATAATAGTTGGTTTGATACAATGCCATGTTCTAAGCCAATTAACTCTTAATAACTCAGAAGCTTGCTCTTCATTTGCAAGCTTATGAGTGCTTAAGAATTAATGGCTTAAACATAAACAAAATGGCCATTTTTGTAATGCCCCCCTTCTCAACTTCTCATGACCCCCTTTTTGCCAGATTAGGGGGGCATATGCCCCATATTTTGGAAATCCTGGATGCATCACTGTATAAAACAATATTATTCAACTCCTTTGCATGGCTGTGTAACATACTGAAAACACCCCTGTAACAAATGTATGTGTACAAATGAGATTTTTCAACTTGCTTTATTCATCTCAATAACTCTGTGAGCTTTGCAATCCAAAAATTTTGAAAAAAAAAAAAAATACAGTAATGTGCCATGAATTTCGTACTGCTCTTAAAATCGGCTGTCTGGAGTTTTTTTATGGACCATGAATTTCGGCCAGTAAGCAATTTTGCGTGATCTTGATTTCGTAAATTTTGTACACCTTAAAATTGGCCATCGGGCTATCTTCGCGCTCATAAAGATCTAACAGTCAGCAATATTGCCCCAGGGTACCTTTTCCTGAGTGCTACGTGTGCGGCCCAAGGTGCAAGATAATGATTGGTACTGTTAGCTTAGGAAGCTAAACAACATCGTCATCACCATTCATTCAGATAACAGTAGAATCAATTACTGTTGGGCTGTTGTTTCTTTACCGCAGTACTTAGTGTGAGATAGCGATTGGTAGTTTTGCTGAGGCACACAGTAGCATTGTTAACAGTAGAGGCTTCAGTAACAGAACAAAAGAAGCAATATTAAGAGCTGCAATAAAGATTATCATTATTGCTTTCTTGTCTCGCTCAGATCGTTCACGATCTCCCACTGACGATCTTCCGCTTATGAAGTCCCTTGAAATGTACAAATAAAATGAAAAAATATTTTTAAAAAATAGTAAATTTCAATGGGGAGGAAGGGTTAAAAACAATCGATAACGATCTTTCGCTAACGCTCTTTCTCGAACAAACTCCTTTGAATGAATATGAAAATTGCCTTCTTGTCTCGCTTAGATCGAGAACAATCTTCTGCAAACAAAAGTCATTGAACGAATATGAGCTTTCTTGTTTTGCTCGGATTGTGAACAATCTCCCGCTGAGGATACGAAAATTGTGTTCTGGTCTTGCCCTTTGGCTAACGAAGTCTTTTTAACAAATATGAAAATTGCCTCCTTGTCTCTCTCGGATTGTGAACGATCTCTCGCTGAAAATTTGAAATTGCCTTTTTGTCAATCAGCTTTGTCAGTTGCTGTACATATGAAGGACCGGAATGTGTCCCCTTTCACAAATTGGCTGTTAGTTTGCTTAGAGTGTACCACATGAAGGTCACTTTTGTCACTGCTGCATACGGCGTTGAATGTGTATCTTAAAGTAAATAGAAACATTTTTTTTTGCATTTTGTAAGCTTTAGGAAGTAGTTTTGTCTTGACTGAATATCAGCGTACACTACAAAGTAGTACCATTCATCTGTGACGCATCATAAAAGCTGGGTACATCAAATTACTCTTAAGAAAATTTCTTACAACGTCCACGGCTGCCCCGACAAGCCAAGACGTCATTTTTTCAAAAAAAAAAAAGTCGTAAGCCGTCTAGCCGTCTTTGAAAATATAGGCCGTCCGGTGATGTAAGCGGCCGTCCAAATGACGGCTGGACAGTTCGCTGGGAAAAGACTTGCTCATAACGGTATATTTATTTAACTATAGGGGCTTACTGACACAAACTTTGGGCACTTATATAGATTGTGCCTGCTTGTATCAAGTTAATTCTGAATAACAGTGCTGTACTGCTGTTCAATGTGGTTTGCTGTACTTATCCTGAGTTTTCAAAAAATAATCTGAAAAACAGAACGCTAGGATCGTTGTACTAATATGGGGCCTTCTTGCTATCCACTTCGTGATATCCACTTCATGGTCGGCTTCTCTAGGTTGAACTTACATATGACATCACCCACCTTACAAGCGGGTGCATGGCTCCCAAAATCAACCAATTATATTAAAGGATAAAGTTCTAATATATCTAAGTTTAATTGTTTGTGCATTTTGTAAAAAATGCCCATGCCACCCCGTTAGTTTGGAGGGTTAAGCTGGATCAAGTCCGTGCAAAATTCTTTGAAGCTTTGCAGGAAAAATCTATCTTTCTTTGTTTCTCTGGCTCCTTGTATAGCTCGATGATCAGATATATCCAGTGCCCCCAGGTCTGCTGGAGCAGCCCTTTGAAAATAATGCACAGGTAGATTTTTACCTGAAATAAATATCGCCAGCGAGAGTGCGTTTGATACACTCAAGACAAAGACTACATGTGAACTAAAGGGCATTTTACCATCTAATTAAGAGGTAAAAGTTCCAGCTAGATGGACGATTAAGATCGGACTTCTGATGGTAACTAGTATTGTTTACCTCAGTTCTGTGAAAGCAAACGAGAAGGGGTGTCAGAACAATGGTGCATATATAAATTATACAGAGGATTTGTACATTACCTTTAACTTACAATCGAAGGGGATTTTCGATAATATTCCTTGAAAAATACACTAAATTTATAGAGAATAATATCATGGTTGGCCAAAAAATTGTACGCACAATGAATCTGTGCGTACGCTCCTGTCGCAAACCATTTCCCACTGACTATATGAAAACTGCCTTCTAACATGGACAAAAAGTCCAAGCTTCTAGGCTTGCTTGGATCGCTGACGATCCATTGCTGACTACAGTAACAAAGGCCCTTGAACTAGTGTGGAAATTGCCTTATCGTCGCGCTCAGATCACTCATGATTTCCCATTGACGATCTTCCAGTCCCTTGAACGAATATGCAAAAAGGCCTTTCTGTCTCGCTCGAATTGCTAATAAATATGAAAACTGCCTTTTCGGTTTAGTCTAGATTACCGATCACTCGCGTGTTTGTTTGAAGATGGTTTAAATTACAAAATGTACACCATTTTTAAATGTGTACATTGGCACAACTATGTGCCAGGAAATTATTGCGTTGTTGAAAAGCTGCTGGTCAAGATTGGGTTGCCTGAGCGAAAAAAGTGGTCATCGAGCCCTGCACACCCCCCCCCCCAACCTAGTATATTTGATCGCAGACAACAATCAGCGGTCATCTTGGTTGTAACGCACGGGGGAGAGAGACCGTAATACACAGTTCGGCTGCTGTGGTGAAGGATACACCGACCCGTGCATGGCGAGATGAGGACGCACTTGCGCGTAAAGCTCCGCCCGACTTCAACGGTAATCGCAGATAAAGGCTACTTGTACGTGCGACATAGACACCGATCGGCTGTCATGTCGGTTTCAGCGCACGGTAACACTAAGCTTCCACAGTAAAGATTATCTGGCCGTGGTAGATGCTAATCGGCTGCCGTCTCTCCCTCCGTCCACTCCTGTCTGAGCGCCAGGATCGTTTTCGAAAAACGACACTAGTTTCTGGCTGCCACAATCGCTTTTGAAAAACAACACTACTGATAACGATGCTGCTTTGCATCCCTAGCCAACAGTACCGCTCGTTATCTAGCACCTTGGGCCGTACACAGTGATTGGGTGAAAGTACGTGTATCCCTTTGGTCACAATTACCGACACTCACCCATCTTACATTATGGTAACTCTAAATAGATCGTCAGGACAACTTCCGGTCAAAATTGACAGAATTCCATGAAATTCGAACGTTTGGAAGTTCTGAGCACCTCCATTTCATGAATTTCGGCCAAAACAAACTTTTCCCAAATTTAATTATTTTCTACTGTTTGAAATTCATGGCACATTACCGTAATATATATATATATATATATATATTTTTTTATTTGATTTGATTTGATTTGAATGACTTTATTGGGTACAAGATTATATACAAGAATTTTAAAAGAGCATAATAAAACAACTTACAACTAATAGTACGACGTCACTTAAAATAATACAAAAATAAGATTGTACCCAAAAGGGTTTGCCTAAAGGGTCAATGACCCATGAATGGACACCCCCCAATGATATACAAATGATAAAAAATAAAAACTCTACTTTAGTACTAAAAACGACAATGTGTACAACTAAAAAAGGACAATGTGTACATCTGCAACGACCCACCCAAGTGCAAACGTTCTCGGGGTCAAAGCGCTCCACCAGAAGAGTACCATAGTGCTCTCTGACGGATCGTCTAAACATTGATCTGCCAACCCCTGAACGTGTGCAAATGGGAAGGGCGTTCCAGATGGGAACAACGCGATTGAAAAAAGACCGGCAAAACGTTTCGGTTCTACAGAAGTTGGCACTGTGGATGATAAAATGATCTCCCCTTCTTACTCTAAAGTACAAATACTTCGTATGATCAAGGACAGCCCTGCCAATAAAACAACTATGCAGGAAGGTAACGTCTAAAATTTCTCTTCTATAAGCTAAAGGCAGCAAGTTTAAAGCAACCAGTCTGTCTTTATAATTCATTTGGTTACCCAGAATATGTCTTGTGGCAGTTCGCTGCACCCTTTCTAGTTTTATTAAATTTTCTTTTGTAATGTGATCCCAAGATACAGAATTAAACTCAAGCTTTGAACGTACTAACGAATCAAAAAGAGGCTGCATTAACCTTGGGTTCCTATTTCTATCAAACACTCGCCTAATAGTTGCCCATGTCTGATTTGCACTCTTAACAATGTTATTTATATGTGAATTAAAAGTCAACTCACTGCTAACGGTAACTCCTAAATCCCTTACGTCATGTACCTTTATCAATACATGTCCAAAGATGTTATAATAAAATACAGTTGGATTGACCTTCCGCGTGACACTTAACAGCATACATTTTTTTGCATTCAATTTCATTCCCCACCTATTACACCACTCTACTACCCTCTCAAGATCCTCCTGGAGGGCCAAACAATCAGCCAAAGAACTAATTAATCTATGCATTTTTGAGTCATCAGCAAAAAGAGACATAGTTGTGAACCGGTCAACAACCTCAGGTAAGTCATTGACATAGAGTAAAAACATCAGTGGCCCCAAGATTGATCCTTGTGGAACTCCAGATGTTACATCACTAGTATATGAGATTTCACCATTTAAGCATACTCTTTGCTGTCTTCCGGTTAGATATCCGCTAAACCAGTTTAATAATCTACCATTTATCCCAAAACTACGCAATTTATGAACCAAAAGTCGATGAGGCACGACGTCGAACGCCTTACTAAAATCTAAATAAATGATATATATATATATATATATTGAACAAAAAATGTCAGGTCAGGTTAGGAGAATGATTGAAATGACAGAGCTAGAACACTTTGATGTAACAGATGTACAGTTTGGCTGTATCAGACATACTTGTACGACCACAAAGGACATATACAAAAATCAAATTGCATAATTTATGAAGTACATCAAGGTAATTTACTAATTATACTGCTCTTAATTTATAATTTTTGAAGTTTACATTTAAGCAACATAAGAGAAGTAGTTATGAATAATAACAATCTAAATCAAATACTATTTTACTATGAATAAAAATTTTTTTCTGCTTTTTGTCTGTATATTTGACAGTTTTGTTGCCTTGTTTTGTTTGGTTTTCAATGATTACTGTGGTAATTGTGGAGTAAAAAATTAGTAGCACAGACCTTGCCACCAAGTTTAATTCAAACTATCACCTACATTGTTATTTTTGAAAAAAAAGGAGTGCATCGCATCAGTGTGTGTTAAACGTCAGTAATGTCAGTTAAGGCAATTAAGATTACAGTATTACTGTATTCAGTAAATAGATGATTGTTGGTTAATATTTTTTAAATTAAATGTGCTATATTTGCAAGTCCTTGGTCTGTCAGCTGTTTTATTAAATTGTTGTCTTGATGTATGAATCTTTGAATTCCAAGATATGAAAGACACAAAAGACATTAAAGGCAGTCTCAGTTAGACTCTTCAAATAGCAAGAAAATGAATTTTCCTGGAAACCTCACCAGTTTTCCCATAATGGCCAAAATATCTCCTATCCAAAGCTGTTCAGAAAATGAAGCTACCTAAAATCGTTTTTAAGTTCCATTAATTTATTTAAGACGACTCATCTTAAATACTCAGCTACCATCTCACAGTGCGGCTTCAGAACCCGCAATTTAGGCCTGAAGATATTTTCAAGTGCGAAGAATCTTCGAGGAATCAATCAACACAATGGAGTTCCTTTCCATTAACTTTGCCGTTTGCAAAGAAAACCCGACCAAAATACGCGATACATGCATTCTCAAAAGTTATTGTGATTTAAAATTACATTTATGTCAAATATATGCCAAAAAACACGGCACTTACTTTTCTGACAAGCTCGCCCTGCATCGTGACATCAGTATCGTCGCCTCTGTTATGATTGAACCCTGCTGTGATTGGTTGTGAGCGTGGGAAAATCCAGCTCATGACTTTGAGCCGGAAATACTTCCGGCTGTGCTCCGAAATCATGATAAATAGTTTACGTTTTCTAATTTTTTATTCTAGTTGTCTTAGCAGAACATTTGTGACCCAGACTGATTAAGATAATAATAAACAATCTCCCAAAACACAAATCTGATCAGAGTTTTACATAGAACCTGCTCCTATACATTAATCTAACTCTAACTGTACTTTAAGGTTTGGCATAACATGGTCGTCTATTATTTCTCAAAATTAGAACTAATGCTGTGACATAAGGTTGTGCATTTTACAGAATAATATATAAATTATTTTTTTTTGGGGGGGGGGAGGTCATTTTACTCATTATAATGTTACTTTCTTATCTTATCGTTATCTTATTTTAGTATGCATATGCAGTGTGATGAACTTGTTGGTGATGAATCCTCCATTGTCAGTGAGAATGAGAAGGAATTGATTACCAGGAGTCTGTTTCCCAGTGCCAGTAGTACTCCTTTCTCATCTAAATTACCCTCAATACACTTTGAATTAAAAAACCTGGTGAGTGAAAAAAATTTGTTCATTTAGTTTCTTGCTTGATTTATTTGGGCAAAGTAACTATCCAGGGTATTGACACTGTATACATTTGGAATTTTTTAATGAGCTGTTGTTCTTTGCAGCTTGTTCTCTATTGTAATTTAAAGGTAGAAGCAAGGAAAAAGACGTGTCTGTCTGTGCCCTAGTGTTTATGGTCACTTTCTGATATTTTTGTTATCTTTGTATCTGCGAAATGAGAATGCACTTTCTATACTAAGGTTTGGGCTAACAGATATGAAATAAGAACTTTTAGTTTAATTGTTTGTATTAACTGTTGTGATCTCTCTTCAATTATTTTGTAGATTCAAAGTGAGAAAGACCTTCCATCTCCATTTTGTGAAAAGGCTCTGATTGATGATGTCTTTAGTTCAGATATTGGAGATGACGAAGGAGAAACTGTGTTTGACAATCTGAAGCCATGTGATCTATTCAATGATATGAAATCTGTAGATTTGGTGAGATGTTTATCTAAAATATTTTGACCAAATTAATGTAATTATCAAACAGTAATGTGATGAGTATTTTTTACTATGTAGAACAGCTCAAAATAGTGGTAATGATTTTACAGACAGCATCTTTCTCTGCTTCAGTTATGTTACAAAATACCCAGTAAGCTTATCTAAAATACTTTTTAAATATAAGTTCAAAAAACTAGTAGATGGAGTGAAAAGCTTACCCCTAAGGTTAAAGAAAACTGTTATAAGAAAACTTGTCTGTATTATAAAGATTTAGAAGACATTTCTAATTGATGGTTTTTATTGGTAATGGTAAGTACGGTAATGTGCCATGAATTTCGAATGGCTCATAAATTTCGAATGATCTTAAAATTGGCAATCTGTAGTTTTTTATGGACCATGAATTTCTACCAGTAAGCAATTTTGCATGATCTTTATTTTCATGAATTTCGTACATCTTAAAATCAGCCATGGGGCTATTTTCATGCTCATAAAGCTCTAACAATCGGCAAGGTTGCCCTCAAGTACCTTTACCTGACTACTACATGTGTGGCCCAAGGTGCAATATAGCGATCGGTACGGTTAGCTTGAGACACTAAACAACATCGTCATAACCATTCACAAAGATAACAGGATAATCAATTAAGAGTTGCACTGTCATTTCTTTACCGGAGTACTCGGTTTGAGATAGCGATCGGTAGTTTTTCTGTGGTGCACAATAGCATTGTCTACAGTAGGGCCTTCAGTAACAGAACAAAAGAAGCAATTAAGAGCTGCAATAAAGATTACCATTATTGCTTTCTTGTCTCGCTGAGATCAATGAAAAATTATTTTAAAAAATAATAAATTTCATTGGGGAGAGATGGTTAAAAACAATCGATTACGATCTTCCACTGACGTTCTTTCGGGAACGAACTCCCTTAAATGAATATGAAAATTGCCTTCTTGTCTTGTTTAGATTGAGAATGATCTCCGGCTGACAATCTTCGCAAACTAAAGTCATTGAACGAATATGAGAATTGCTTTCTTGTTTCGCTCAGATTGCAAACGATCTCCCGCTGATGATATGAAAATTGCCTTTTTGTCTATCAGCTTTGTCTGGTGCCACATGTATGAAGGTACAGAAGGTGTCCCCTTTCATAATTTGGCGGCAAATTTGCTAAGAGTTTGTTAGGGCCTACATGTGTTTTGTACCACATGAAGGTCACTCTTGTCACTGCTGGAATATGTATTTTAAAGTTAATGGAAACATTTTATTGTGTTTTGTAAGGTTTAGGAAGTAGTTTCGTCGAGACTGAAAAACAGCGTGCACTACAAAGTAGTACCATTCAACTGTGATGCATCATAAAAGCTGGGTATGTCAAATTAGTCTAAGAAAATTTTGTACAACATCCACGGCCGGCCCGACAAGCCAAGACGTCATTTTTCAAAAAAATTTGTAATCGTTGTATTATTATTATTATCATTACGCCTTCTTGCTATCCGCTTTGTGATATCCATGGTCTGCTTCTGTCAGTTGAACTTATATATGGTATCACCCAGCTTACACGCGGGTGCATGGCTCCCAATATCAACCAATTATATTACAGGATAAAGTTCTGATATATCTAAGTTTAATTATTTGTTTGTGATCGTAAAAATTGCCTGTGCCACCACCCTGTTAGTTTGGAGGCTTAAGCTGGATCAAGTCAAAATTATTTGAAGCTTTGCAGGAAAGATCAGCCTTCCTTTGTTTCTCTGGCTCCTTGTTTAGCCCGATGTTCAGATTTTATCTAGTGCCCCCAGGTCTGCTGGAGCTGCTCTTTGAAAATGATGCACAGGTAGATTTTTACCTGAGATAAATGTCGCCAGAAAGAGTGCGTTTGATACACTCAAGACAAAGATAGGCTACCTGAGAGCTGAAGGGCACTTAACCCTCCAATTAAGGTAAAGGAAATTCCAGCTAGATGGACGATTAAGATAGGATTTCTGATGTATAATATTGTTAACCTCAGTTCTGTGAAAGAAGGGGTGTCAGAACAATGGTGCATATATAAATTATATAGAGGATTTGTACATTCAGGTGACAATAATTTACAACTGAAGGGGATTTTCGATTATATACCTTGAAAAATACACTAAATTTATAGAGAATAATATAATGGTTGGCCCCAAAAATTGTACGCACAGTGCATCTGAGCGTATGCCTGGTTACGTCCCTATAGCTAACCATTTTCTGCTGACTATATGAAAATTGCCTTCTAGCATGGACAAAATGCCCAAGCTTCTAGGCTTGCTCGGATCGCTGACTATCTCCTGCTGACAAATATAGTAACGAAGTCCCTTGAACCAGTATAGAAATTGCCTTATCGTCGCGCTCAGATCACTCATGATTTCCCATTGACGATCTTCCAGTCCCTTGAACGAATATGAAAATGGCCTTTCTGCATCGCTCGGATTGCTAACGAATATGAAAACTGCCTTTTCGGTTTCGTTCCTCACTCGCGTGTTTGTTTGAAGATGATTTAAATGACAAAACGTACACACTTTTCGAATGTGTACATTTGCACAACTATGTGCCAGGAAATCAGGTGCGTTGTCGGACAGCTGCTGGTCAAGATTGCCTGAGCGAAAAAAGTGGTTGCAAATAGAACCACGCAACCGTGAATATCGAGCCCTGCACCCAGGGGCCCAACCCTCCCCCCGGTATATTTGATTGTAGACAACAATCAACGGTCATCTTGGTCGCAGCACACAGCGGAGAGAGACCGTAACACACAGTTCAGCTGCCATGGTGAAGGCTACCTGTGTGCCGCACATACCGATCTGCGGTCGTAGTGGCCTCCCTGGAAGGCAGATAGGCCATAATACCGAGGCCAGCTTCTGCAGTTTAGGCTATGTATGCGTCGCAGACACCAACCCGCGCACAGCGAGATGATGACACACTTGCATGTAAAGCTCCGCCCAACTTCAATGGTAAAGGCAACGAACCTGGCTTTAGAAGACGCTAATTGCCGATGAAAGCTACCTGTACGTGCACCATAGACACCGATCGGCTGTCGTCTCGGTTTCAGTGGATGGAAAGGAGCAACGGTAACACTAGGCCCGGCTTCCACAATGAAGGCTAACTGGCCATGGTAGACACTAATCACGTACCGGCCGTCTCTCCCTCCGTCCACTCCCGTTCTGAGCGCCAGGATCATTTTCGAAAAACGGCACTAGTTTCTGGCTGTCAGGTTCGCTTTTGAAAAACAATACTACTGATAATGATGCTGTTTTGTGTCCCTATAGCCAACACTACCTTAGGCTGTACATAGTGATCGGGTGACAGTACGTGTATCCCTTGGGTTGCAATTACCGACACTCACCTATCATACATTATGGTAACTCTAAATAGATCATTGGGAGAAAGTAACATAAGGCCTGGTGACGAACAGACAACTTCCAGATAAAATTGACAGAATTCCATGAAATTTGAACATTTGGAAATTCTGAGCACTTCCATTTCGTGAATTTCGACCAAAACAATCTTTTCCCAAATTTGATTATTTTCTACTGTATAGAAAGAAGCATAGCACATTACCGTATTTCAATAGTTGAATGAGGGATGCCCTTAGTATCTGGATAGATATTTCCTGTTGTGACTGACATTTAGCCTTTCCTTTCTTGTACTTAAATCTAATTAATTGTGTGTGTTGATGCTTAGGATTTGGTTGGTTTCCACAATTTGCTGCAGTGTGTTTAAAGCAACTATACTTATTTGAAACAAAAAATCTTGGACTAAAGGTAAATTCAGTGGTTTCTTGTTAATAACAGGGGGCCTTACTCTAACCCCTGTAAGAAAATGAATTTTCATTAGAGTTGCTAATTATAAATAGATTTCTGTCTTCTAGGTTGAAGAGTGTAGACACAATAAAGATCTTGTGTTAGAACAGTTGGATTTGTTGTCAAAACCCCAGGGGGCTCAGAAAACTGAAGATGAGCATTTGAATGTCACAGAAATTACAAGACAGCAGTTGCTACAAGAGACAGAAGATTTTTCTAAAGTAATTGTTGAACTTGCCAAAACCAAGCGAACCTCTGATCTGAGGTACAATTTTAGTCATGCAGTTGATGTGATCTTAATTTTATGAATAGTAAAAACATGTCAACAGATATTAGAAGGCTTTCTTACAAAGTACTTTGTGGAGAAAAAAAATTGTCTTTTAAAGGTATATATGATTTATCCATAATTTTATTTTTAGTTACAAACTGGAATAATGTGTCCCCTATTAAAGTACAAATTTCAAACATTTATTACATTATAAAAGGAAGTTATTCCATTGGCTATTACAATGGAAATTACAAACATGCAGTAAATATTCTTTAAATGTGCCTTATTTTTGCCCTATATTACAGGGTCACAAAACTTGCAGGTGCTTTAAAAAGGTTAAAAGGTAAGCATGAACATTTATGTCATAGTAAAAAAAAAGTAAATTGGTGGTAAGGAGTAATTGCTTAATTATATAATGTTGGTTTGACTTTATTCCACAACTGTTTTAATTGTCTTTTTTTTTCTTCATTTTTTATTTCCAGATAAAAATATAGAGATAAAAAGGAAACACAAGGAAGCATTAAAGCAGATGCAGGATGATTCCATCAGTCTAAATCTCTCAGTTGAAGAGCTCACAGAGTTAAGGGAAAGATATGAAGTGGAGAAATCTAACAGAGAAAATATTGAAAAGCAGGTACATAATAATAATAATAATAATAATTGATTGTCATATTTATACAAGTATAAAATGAAAATAGTATGATCTGTCGATAAAATGTAATAAAATGGAATTATTAAAATACATTTTGTTCATTAAAAATACGTACTGCTGATGGATAAAAACTATTTTTGTCATGCTTATGATATCTTTAAAGAGTTGTGTGTAAATCTGTGTGACATATTATGTTATTCTTAATTCTTTTCACATTGTAATTTCTCCTAACTCCTCCTAGACCATTAGAGTGAGGAAGTTGAAACTTTGGGAACTGATAGACCTATTATCAGGGATGTGCATGAGCACTTATGAATTTTAGTGCAACTGGGGGTTGGGCTGTTCCTGGGAAGTGGTTGATTCTGAATTCTTTTCACATTGTAATTTCTGCTAACTTCTCCGAGACCATTATGATGAGGAAGTTCACTTTTTAGGTTTTAGCAGACTTATCATCACATGCAGGCCTACCCAACTACCAGACTCGGCACCTAAGGATCCTGAATTAACCGGTATATCTGACCACATTACCCGTTTTCAAGGTGTGTGTCAGATCGCATTTCGGAGTATCAGTCACAACACCGACAGGATGAACCCACGCTCGGTTGTCACCTTGATTGGATAGTAAACGATTGTCGTAAAATCGCTATATGATTTTAAAACTGGGTGCATAAATTTGAAAACCACCTAGAACAACCTTAGACTGCCACATTAATCTAATACAATGCAAAAAAGCCCTATCAAAGGTGTTAAACATTCAAACCGAATGTCATAAAGTGCCCATATACCCCCATAGAGACAATAAAATAGAGTACTCTAGATGAGAGTACAGTCTAAGGTTGTTCTAGGTGGCTTTCAAATTTATGCACCCGGTTTTAAAATCATATAGCGATTTTACGACAATCGTTTACTATCCAATCAAGGTGACAGCCGAGCGTGGGCTCATCCTGTCGGTGTTTTGACTGATACTCCGAAATGCGATCTG